GAGGATTTATAAGGATAAGTCTAGGGCTGCAACAACGAATCGATAAAATCGATAAAAAATTACTTTTAAAAGCGTTGGCAACGAATTTCATCATCGATTAGTTGTGTCGCGCGATTAATGCGTCATCCGCCGTTGCCGTCATCACATCCACTTGACTGAAGCGGGGGAAGAAGAAAAATTACGGCAGAGCGAGCCAGCGCTGCAGGTGCAGTGTTGCCAACTCAGCGACTTTTCAGACCCCTCCAGCGACTATTTTTCAAAAAAGCGACTAGCGGCAAATCTGGCGACTTTTCACGGTGTCACTGGCGGCTTTTGGAGACTCTTACGTGAAAACATGTATCGTTCCTACTCTGCCGTGGGGCGCCTCCCCCATCCCAACCCCGTTCTCCCGCAGGAGTCCCTCTCAGCTCTGCAGTCAGAGCCGCAGGATGTTTACCCTCAGCGTCCAGACTGCAAATGATGCGCGCATGCGCCGGGATTGACGGCGCAAATTGATCACAATAATTAAAATAGCCTGCGCTTTGTAAAGCGAAAAAAGTCATAACATGCAACTTTAGTAAAAACAATTTAACATGGCACGGAAGCACCATGTTTGTTTGGTTCTAAAGTGGGGAAACGTAACGTTAGTTTCTCAGGTAGCTCATCTGATGCTTTCCTTACCATGTTAGTAGGTTACATGCAGTGATAAGGTTGGCTACTTATTTTACTTTTAATTTCCTTTGAATTAGCTTAAGCAGCGTTTATATTTACTTTATAAATAAATTAACTTGCAAATTATGAGGGCAAGGCTTTTAAAGTTTAAATCTTCTGGCAAAGATAAAGTAAAGAAGATCCTGCAATTTATGGAAGTAAAGCAGAATAAAATCCAGCAAGATCAGTAATATGTCAATTAATTATCTGCCACATTCCCATGTAAATATCTGTCTTTGGAGGATGTGTTTTTTAGCACCCCTAGTTCTCTCATTTTTATTCCAAATACAATTTATAATTTGAATCACAGGGCTATTTTTATCTCTATGGTTCAGTATATTCTCAAGTAGCAACTTTAACTGCTATACTTTCCTGTCTTAAAAGGCAGAACTCTTCTAGTCTAAAAAAAACTCATTTGTTGAAATGGGGGGGCCCATTGTTTGAACCCCTTAGGGGCTTTAAAAACAAAAATGTCTTTTTTTGCGCTTTATGAAACAAAGTAGCCTATATTTTGTGGATGTACAGCTACATTTCTCATGTAAGTTTGCGTAGTTTTAACACAAATATTTATTTTTCATATTGCACCAGTACAGTTAATGAGCAACCTGTACTTGTGTGCTTGTTTGTTCTGTCTAAAATGTTTATTTTGGAATAAAGAGGTTAATATAAAAAATATTTTTTGTCCGATTCATCGATTAATCGAAAAAATAATCGGCCGATTCATCGATTTTTAAAATAATCGTTAGTTGCAGCCCTAGATAAGTCACGAAAACCTATGTGTCGTTCTGTAAATAATCCTGTGTTTAACTTTTAGGTAACGAGACGACGTTTTTATTCCCACAAAAGTGTGTTGCAGTGAACTTGTCACAGGTATGACGCAGACATTTCCGATTTATGCCCAATTTTGAAGCGCTACGTTATTCCACACCACAACGCCAGAGGGACAATTACGAACTAGCTAGGATTGTGGGTGTCTTTGTGTTTGACAAGCTTGTTCGCCATCTGCAACCCCTCATCCAACACCGGACAACACACAGTTCACCCGTGAGTGTTCCCCAAAGACTGGTGTGTTTTGGCTTCGGGTGCAAACCAGCAGACCGTCGCACAGAGCTACAAACTAGCATCCTGCACAGTGTCTGGGATAGTGTCCGAGATGTGCCAGGCGTTGTGGACGGCTCTACAGCCAGAGCTTCTGCCATTAGGTACCAAACGGGAAATACGCATAGTGTAGAGTAGATGTAGAATTGACCAATCAGAGGCCTCCTGTCTACGATCACCAACAATTTTAGGAAAGGTGCACCAGAGTGTCTACGGCGACACAAGCAGATGAGCTGGTTTTCGGAGCATAAAACAGGCTTTAGCGCCTGGTATTTTCTGAACAGCCCCGTTGTTGAGACGGATTTATACCCAGAAACCAGGTCGTCTGCGTTACATTGAATGCAAATGTGCCCCCGCCCCCTCCGCAGACACTCTACTGCACCTCACCAAAATTGTAGGTGACCGCAGACAGTGCCGTAGACAGGAGGCCTCTGATTGGTCAAATCTACATCCTCTCTACTCTATGCGTATTTCCTGTTTGGTTCCTTACCGGCTTGTTTTGTTTGTCTGACCGCCATTGTGGAAAACGACTCATGAAGATGGAGCAGCTAGAAGAGCGAGGTGCGCGAGAACGCTGGGACCCTTTTCCCACCTGGATCCCCGCTCTTTTTGGCCCTCATACCCCTCCGTTGTTGCACAAACTTGCCTCCACTTCCTCACCACCTCGAATATATCTAGACCCACAGTAGAGACTGACACGGGAGTGGATTTTCACTCCTGTCCCGTCCCACTCCCACAGAAAAAAATTGTGTCCCGTCTCGATCCCGGGCCAGAGTAGAAATCTAAATCCTGTCCCATCCCACTCCTGGTGAAATTACTTCCACTCCCATTCAGAATGACTCCCACTCCCGCACCACTCCCATTCTTGTTGTCTTCAATAAGATTTCTGCCAATACATTAAATCTGAATTTCTTTTGAGCGCGGGTGAAAAACTCAGAGCGGAAGCACTGTTGGTTTTTGGGTCATGTAGCAGTGGTGGCTGGTGAAAAATATTTTTGGTGGGGCTGATATAGCCTAGTGTATGTCTCCAACTAATCCGGAATAAGAATTCAAATAAACAATTGGACAATACATACAATTTAACAGTAATGATTTAATTTACTATATAATAACAGTAACAGTGATGATTTGGGTCACTGTGACGGGGTTCTTTGGCCTCCAAGAATCCAGTCTCAGTCGGGTTACCGGTGTTGGTGATTTATTGAGCTCAAAAACTCAAAACAGGGTGCAAAAGAAACTAAACATAAGATCCTCTGGGCCTCAGCCTCCCTCCAGTTACCAGCAATGTAACAAAGAAACAGAAAACAAAAATTGCCGCTTTTCTTCCCACAGCCCTCATTAAATAGTTTAAGCCCCTCCCCTCAGGCTCTCTTATTTCTGATTTCTTCTCATTAATCAGTTTTGTCCATATATTACCTCCACAAACAATTGATGTACAAAAACAAATCATTTTTACAACTTAATTCTTTTACACAGATTCATTGACTTATTCAATTACACCAAACTGGGTTTGAACCCAGCAAAGACGCAGCCAGACTGAAGATGACAAGTCCCCATAGCATAAACACGTACACCCCCCCCCCCACACACACACGGCTAACCCCACTGAAATATTAAGTGTGCACCCTCAATACGCCAGCAGGTAACCAGGAACAGCTTGTGTGTTTTAAGTTCATGGAGCTACTGGTCTCAGCGCGAGTGTATTGGTCCTCACAAACACAGTATAACAGGAATGTGTGTGTGGCGCGCAAAGTTAGAGAGGTTGTTTTAAGCGACGAGGTGGATTCGTCACAGTCACAATAACCATGACATGAAATGTTCATATCCTACAACAGGGATATTCTTCTGGCAAACGGGTAGATAAATAAGGATCTCACCGAATTTGGTGGAAGCTGCATCTCGTTCGTTACATTCGCCATCTTCCCTCTAATTGTCTGCACCTGCGCTTGGGTTCAGAAGCCTGTTAAAGTGCAGTATTTTCAGAGCCCCAAGACCATAAAGTTCCGAGACGCTGATTGGCCATTAAATTCACCTAGCAATAGTACATGATTGACAGATTCTCTGCAAATGTGGGGCAGTCTGATCAGCGCCCCCAGAACAGAGACGGTAGGAGTCTGTCTGTGGAAATCCACAAATGAATGACAGTAGATAGGGAAATGTAGTTTATATAATTTGTTTTGCTTATAGGTACACAGTCTAGAGAGTAAAACTGACATTTATGAGTTAATTTGTAAAAATATATTTTACGTTTCTCTCTTCTTATCAGGGAGGGCGGTGCCCCAGCGCCCCCTATGGGCCGGCCGCCACTGTCGTGTAGTCTTTTTTGACTCGCATTATAGTGTAGGCTTCAAGGAAAAAACTACAAAACGGCGGCGCCAGTACTGGATTTTTTTCTAATTTATTTTATTTTTTGGCATCGATCCTAGTTTTTTTTAGTTACTATTGGTTTGCTCCCGCTCCCATCTGCTCCCGTTAATGTTTAATCCTGTACCGTCCCAATCACGTGATCGTTACTAATACTGACTCCCATCCCACCCGTGGGATTCCCGGAAAAATTTCAGTCTCTAACCCACAGCTAGTTCCTGATTGGCCCTCTGGCATTGTGGCGTGGAATAACATAGCGCAAACCACGCTTCAACATTGGGCATAAATCAAAAATATCTGCAACAAGCTCACTGCGACACACTGCTGGGGGACGATAACCAGACCTTAATAGCTGTAACGGGTATAAGATGCATTAACCCTCAAAATTAGTCCAGATTAAAGATTTTCATTAAAAAGCAGTTATATTTGTTTCTACTGTGTTTCATGCAATCCAGTCATCCACCACCGCCTGACAATGAGTGAAGAGAAAAAAGGAAACTAAAAAATTGATTATATGCGCACAGGCGGTACCGCTACCACACAACTACGGGCCCCGCAGGCATGGATGGACTGGGAATCCAGGACTGTTGGCCAGCCTCATACAGGTTAATCAGCTCGTTATCTCAAGAAAACAATTTATGATTTAACCTTGATAATGAGATAGTTAGGTGATTATCTCAAGAAGGCAAAGGAAAAATAAAAAAATAAATTTCTCACATTTCACTTGAAATCACAGTAAGTTGTGGCTAAACTGAGACAAAATGTGAAAAAGTTTAAACATTTCAGGCAGTTTAGATTAGAAGCAGAGAAGAAAGATCATCTGTTTATGTTTTTTTAGGTTCTCCTACCTGAGAACTCGGAGCGGCGGGACAGCTGACAGTTTCCCCGCTGGTTGTGGCCCCGAAGCTGGAGGCATCATGACAAGCAGGCCTTTGGCTTTGGAGCCGGGGGCCCGGGTGGGACTCACTGCGGTGGAGGCCACTCTGGCTGGACTGAGGGGCAGAGGCCTCTGTGGAGGGAAGAGGGGCGGTCTGGACTGCTGCTCAGATACCAGCTACAAGACAGAAAATACAATCAGACCACATTAGGCTGCTCTCCAACATCTGAATAAAATCAGAGGAGAGGAAACGGCGAGAAGAGAACTTCATCTACATCAAGCTAAGGCTTTGGATTCAAATTCACTCCTCATCTGGGATCAAACATCCGAATCCTTTCATTAATCACGGTGGCTTTCTTCTTTGCTTCAAACAAACACAGGAAATACAGCACTATATAAAACCTCATCTAATTCAGAAGCGTTTCCCGCTCATGGACTCAGCCTTAAGGATGAATTATCCAAACTAAAACAAAGAAGTTTTAGTCTTTAATCACACTTAATCTCTACACTTCATCTGAAGTAATGAAGATTTTCAAACCTGCCCACATGTTTCACTTAGAGCATATTTAATAGACAAAGTCTGGGAAATGCTTTAGAAGTGAGCGAACGCAGTAACAGGCTGGGGTTCGGCTGAAACGATGCCCATATTCTCAGTATCCAGGAAGTAAAGTAAAAGCACAAAAAAAAGAGTGCAGTCTTCTAGATGAAGAAGCTCTATTTATCCAAAGAGCTTTTCATTTCAAAACTAATGGAAGTCCCGGCCTTTTAAGCAGGTTTATAGAATTTAGAATAGAAATAGAATAGAATTTAAAATCCTCCTTCTCACATATAAAGCCTTAAATGGCCAAGCTCCATCTGATATAAGGGATCTGATTGTTCCTTATGTTTCTCTGACTGTGACTAACTGGATGTGCTCTCTTCATCCTCTGGCATGGGAGCTGGCTCGGAGCTCGTCTGCCTGGCTGTGTGTTTCCTGGACGGGGCCGCCTGTGGAGCTGGTTGACAGTTGCCTTTTGTATCTATGCTTCTTTTTCTATGTCTGCTTCTGTCTCCTTGAACCCCAGTGGGCCTCAGCAGATGGCCGCTCACACTGAGCCTGGTTCTGCTGGAGGTTACTTCCTGTTAAAAGGGAGTTTTTCCTCTCCACTGTCGCTACAAGCATGCTTAGTGTGAGGGATTGCTGAAGAGTCAATGAGTCGATGCAATCAGCTGGTTTTCCTTAGATAGAAAACATTGAATCAATCTGACTGGATGATCTGGTTGAGCTGGAAAGTGCCTTGAGATGGCATGTATTGTCAATTGGCGCTATAGAAATACACTGAATAGAATTGAATTTATCTAAATCCACGTGCAGATTAGCCGCAACATGCTAAGCCTTTCAGGTAACCACTGGGAACAGGTTTGGCAGGAACAGCTAAATAATTCAGCTTTTGTTTGTTTGTAGTCTGTTTAAAAACCAATCGACCGCATGCTAATACCAATGCTAGCAGGACCAGAGGCTAACATGTTTTCAACTTCCTTTCTAAAGTAACAAATATTTCAAAAAGGGTTACAACGCTAAAATGACATTATTGTTTACATGTTCTCTGATCTGCTCATTATATCTGGCTTCTGAAGGAGATCCAGAAAGCCTCTTTAATAGCTCCCTTGTCTCTGGTAGCCATAAGCCTCTTTGCTACTGAAAATAGCGGGTTAACCCGTCTTTTTCAAACATGGGTCGACCCGCTAACAATCAGAATTTAGCTCCCTTCCCACTAGCAAAAAAAGCTGGTCTACAGGTGACACCATCACGCTGGGTTAGCTTTGATGATGTCACCAGTGCGATAGAAATCAGGAAAGTAAACAATGGAGAGCAACATGTAAAGAAGCCAGTAGTCAGTGTGCGTTATTGTTTCTCTCTATTATCTGTCTGAATCCCTCTCACCAGAGCTGCTCCATGTTTATCGATTGTAAACAGAGTTGTTTTTGTTTGTTAGATCATATGCGACTGACGCGGTGTGTTGACGTCAGTTTGTTGCCTTCTCAATGGTATCACGTAATTTTTCAGGTCAACCCGACTCTGGTGTTCTAACAGCATGCCGATCAGAGCCGAAGCGATTTTACACGTTTCCCTTGCCGCTGTTCCCACTGTCACTAAAAACTAGTGTTGCGCTGATGCCATTTTTTGGCCCCGATACCGATACCCGATACCTGGCTGTGCAGTATCGGCCGATACCGATACCATAATAATGCAAAATAATTGCCATCATGGCTTTGTCGAGCTGCTGCCTACCTTTGTGAAGCAGGAAAAAAACTAATACAAAGTGAATCCAGTAGAACTTTTTATTGCCTACCAGGAGTGGGTGACAATAGTTGAAGAAACTTCTGGCTCTCAAAACGGTATCGGTGCCCTATTTGATGGTACTCGCAGATACCGATACCACCATTTTAGGGCAGTATCGGGGCCCCGTCCGATACTGGTATCCGTATCGGTGCAACACTACTAAAACCCAAATTTTCCCAGGTTTAAAGTGGTTTTTCGACCAGTGGGAAAAGAATAATAGAGCACCACGTCCTGTATTAATTAATTGTAGGAAGCTGAGTCAATGTTGAGCTTCCTTTTTAATGTTGATGGAAAGTTACTCTGGGGGCAGAAAGAAAGCACAGATTGATGGCTGAATTTTAGGAGCTGCCTGGCTTTGTTTTCCATTGAGAAAATGTCAAATAGTTTGATAACATTTATTATTGAGTTAAAGCTTATTGGCTTGATGCTTTTTAACGGTAAGTTTTTGTCTTCATGTTCTTCCCATCTCTGCCTGATATTGATCAATGCTCTTGTGTCCCATCCACAGGTTTCACCACATTGGTCTCTACAGCTTTCAGATACAGTTTTAAAGTGAACAGATTCCCTTTGCAGCTCATCGAAGGATCTTACCAGTGGAGAACGTGTTGGGTTTAGGGGAAGTGGCTTCTTAGGCGGGCTGAGTCTCTGTGGGGTCGGGGGTGACTTGGGTGGTACTGTTGGGGGCTTGGCAGATGGGAGAGGTGGCCTTAAGACTTTGAGGTCCCGCGGACCACCCTGGGGAGACTGACTAGGCCTCAGAGGTCGGACGATGTTGACCGGCTGGGTGCAGTTTGGCACTGGTCCTGGTCTGAGTGGTAGAACCTCTTTGCTGGTGTGAGGAAGCTGGAATAAAATGAAAACAAAATCATCTGATAAAACAAAGATATGTTTTCATCAGTTACTTTTTTAATGAAAGACACTGCAAGTCAAGAAGACCTTAAAAAAAAAAACCCTCACACGAACATTTACATCCAATGATCCCAAGACCGAGGACCCGGCAGCGCCGGTCCCGGGATTACCGGACGACCCAGTACCTGAACCATGAAATCCTGATTGCTAGATTGGTTAGTGTGGTGGTGACCCCCCCAAGACCACGGACCAGGCAGCTTGCTCTACCTCCAGGCCCCAGAAGGCAACCGGAGAACGGGTGTTGTGAGAAACTCCCCAATCCTCCCTGAGCCCGCTCAAATGTTGTGCTTTTGCATGTTGTTTTAGTGTGTTTTTAAAACTAGGAGTACCAAAGGGGGTGTCCGGGACAGTCCACCCCCCCTCAGGAAGGTAGCAACCCCGCCCCCACCCCCCCAAATCAACAACCCAGAACCCTCAATGTCTAAATGTGAGGGGCTGGAGGGAGCCACTACTTTTATAATCCAACTCCAAGTACTAGAAATGTGGTGACTTTCTTCATTTCTAGATGTTTCTTCTGTCCTTTTCAAACCTTTGTCTCCATAGCATCCTGGCACAGATCGTTTATTTTTAAAGTACCTCTGTGGGGAATAAATGCCATGTAAGCCCCTAATATATTTAGGATAATATTGTCATGTAGTTTCCTTATTTGTGTTTTTTGTCCTCCAGCTATAATTTTCTGGCCAATCATCTGCCAGTCCTTGCCGGTGACCCTTCTAATAAAAGAATCGAGTAGACTGCGGAGTAAAAGCCTGATGAAATAATGGAGAGAAGTGTTGAGGATGTGGGAGGAGGTGTTCTCTAAGTGGTCACATAAAACAAGCCGCTGAACAATGAAGCTTTTTAAAATGAAGGTCAACTTCACGGACCGTTTATTTTCATCCAAGCAGAACGAGGAAACAAGGACTCAACCTCTCCTCTCATTCCCTTTCCTCCAGTTTTTTTTTTTTCACAGAAAGACTTACCCCCTTGTGGCCACCGGCCTTGTTGATTGGACTGACCACTTTCAGGTGGAAGGCAGGATTCAGGTGGCCATTTTTCTCCTTCTCCACCGAAGCCTCATTCCTGAAACAAAGAAAAAGGACAGATACGTCCTTTACTTTAGATTAGATTTAACAAAGCAGAGGGATCACTGACTGATTTGTTACGCTTTGAAGAAAGTGATTTAGCTGATCAGTATTTCATTCATAACTGTTAATATTTTTGGCTTGGTGAGTATTCAACAGCTCCTTTGTATTTTCTGCCTATCATCTCCAAAGTGATTCTAAAACAAACCAAAATAAACAAACATAATATGTAAGAGATATTCAGGTTAGAGAAGTGAAAGATGTAGACTCCGACCCCGGCGAGGGAGGATGAACCCAATTTAGGCACAAAATCTATGGTGAACGTGCATAAAGGGGAGTCGAGAGTTTATGTGGTGCTTCAACTCAGAGTTATAAACCCCTCAGCAAGAAAAGCTGCTATTGGCTGTCCTAAAAAATGCTAGATGATGTCATCATCTAATTTACATACATTGATTCTTCCAGCTGCAGTTTTTTGTTTTACAGTCAGCTGAGTACAAAACATTGGCCGTTTCTCAATATATGTACTTGTGAGTCCTCGTGTCCTCGTGAAACGTCATCAGCCTCAGCTCTAGTACTGTTCCAATTCACCAGAACAGCAGACGGAGAACGGACAAAGTCCCCGGATGTTGTTCTTACCCCTCCCTCTTTACCCAGCATGCATCAGAGCAGACTTGTCCGTTCTTGAGATTGACAGCTGTCCCAGCATGCACTGGGGCGGCAGCAGCTACCAGGTTAGCGCTCACAGAGCTCAGAGCATTAAGATAAACTTTCTCTTTTCTGTTGCCGTTGTTCAATAAAAGTACGTTTTAAGATCATTTGAGGCGAGAACATTGTACTTTTAAGCGTCACTATATGGCCCATTTATTGGTTTAATGCGTAATAAATTTTTTTTCTGAAGTTGAGAGGACCGCGGCAACCAGCGGAGCTCCAAGGGTAACGGCAGCCAGGGCTAACGTTAGCCCGTCTCGAGCAGCGGCCAGGGCTAACGTTAGCCCTTCTGCAGCGGCCAGGGCTAACGTTAGCCCGTCTGCAGCAGCGGCCAGGGCTAACGTTAGCCCTTCTGCAGCGGCCAGGGCTAACGTTAGCCCTTCTGCAGCGGCCAGGGCTAACGTTAGCCCGTCTGCAGCAGCGGCCAGGGCTAACGTTAGCCCTTCTGCAGCGGCCAGGGCTAACGTTAGCCCGTCTGCAGCGGCCAGGGCTAACGTTAGCACGTCTGCAGCGGCCAGGGCTAACGTTAGCACGTCTGCAGCAGCCAGGGCTAACGTTAGCCCATCTGCAGCAGCCAGGGTTAACGGTAGCCCGTCTGCAGCAGCCAGGGCTAACGTTAGCCCTTCTGCAGCGGCCAGGGCTAACGTTAGCCCGTGTGCAGCGGCCAGGGCTAACGTTAGCACGTCTGCAGCGGCCAGGGCTAACGTTAGCACGTCTGCAGCAGCCAGGGCTAACGTTAGCCCGTCTGCAGCAGCCAGGGCTAACGTTAGCCTGTCTGCAGCAGCCAGGGCTAACGTTAGCCCGTCTGCAGCAGCCAGGGCTAACGTTAGCATGTCTGTAGCAGCTAGGGCTAATGTCAGCCCGTCTGCAGCGGCCAGGGCTAACGTTGCCCGTCTGCAGCAGCCCTCTCTCTGTATAGCTGCGTGTGAAGGGCCACTGGCTCTAATGGCAATTTTTTTTTCTTTATTTGGCAAAATGCTCATTTGATTTGTGTTTATCTGACTGTGTTCATTATTATTCCCCCACTAATTGAAAAAGTTACAATTTATTATTATGCTGAGACTATTAATAACAGGAGGTGAAATTAAGCTTCAGACGAGCTGAGCGTGTGGCGATGTCATCAGTCATCACGCTTCTGTTCAAGTCCCAGTGCTGTATCTGGTGTTTGTCACAACGCGCTATTATCCAAGTCATCTTGAAAACATTCTTCTTCCAAATGTTGGCTACATATTACGGGTTTTTTCTCTGGCCAGAAGTTCGATGACAAATCCTCCCTCTTCAAGTTGGCGATCCAACGACCAACCCGTCCGTGGAGGATCAGGAATCAGAAAGGTGGAATAACTCTTTTTTTTCCCTTTTACCCGATGTATTCCAGCATCCAGCTGCCATGCACGTGGGCATTGTCAGTTTCACTATAGCTCTGGTGAATTTCAATGGTGAAGTCCTCTGGAAATCTTCAATAATTGTTGTTGATTGCAGATGTGTCTAGTAGTTCCCATTGATTTAGCTTGTAAAGCGGGGAGAATGGCGCTAGGCTTACCGCACCGTGACGTCACTGCTGGAAGATGGCAGGAGGGAGGGGTTACTATGTTGATTATTCCTTGCTGACCTGACTTTTCCTTTAAAGTCGTAGGGAAGCGGCTGTTCCGTTGCATTTCCGAATTCTCCCGAGTGGTGCCCGACTTTACACGAGTGAATAAAGTGAATGTGATTGGTTGATTATCAAAGGGGCATTATTGTTGTGGTGGAAGGTTTGCAAGCAAGTTTGGTTGCGGTCGGTTTGTGGGAAGCATCTTGCTAACCAGTTAGCAACTTAGTGCTAGCAGGTTCCCAATGGGAAATTCCATTGGGACCAAGTAGCACTAAATTGGTGACTTAGAAACGACGCTGTCAAGGAACGCTATGGACAGCGGAAACATGCAATAGGAGGAGAGTTTAGTGTCGGAGGTCGTGGATGAGTCTCCTCCGTCATCCATTTTTTATTTAGAGGAGGAAAGCGGGGATGAAGATGTTGTGGAAGAGGACGCCAGGGCGGCAGAAGCTTGGTTTGGTGTAGAAGGCTTCCAGCCGTACATGTTTGAGCCCTTGCCTCGCAACGCTGCCAGTTCTGTTAGCTCTACGCCTGCCGAAGACACAGACGTCCATCCCCGTGAACACTGGGACGCAACTCAATGGGAAAGGAAAGGATTCTGGTTTCAACCGTTGCGTATATTAGCTGCGACACATGAATCAAGATGCTATGACCGAAAAAATGTGATTGACAGATGACCGTTGATATATGATTGGCCGAATTTAGGTGTTCAGGCTGATTTTTAACTAACCGGCCTGCATAAGATGATGGAAAAAAAAAAACAACACACAGATTTTAAAATAGAAATGTTCAGACTTTTGGAACAATATGATAAATCTAATAAAGAGTACATTTATATATATGTTTAAGCCAGAACGTCTTTAATAATCCTATAAACCACAGAAGCCACTGGCTGAACGGAAAACAAATTAAAAATAATTGCTAATGGAGCCAAACTGTAAATTGGAGGGTTTCAGCTGCACCTGCTGCTCTGAGAGATGAAACATTAAACCAGCCGATATAGCAGGTCCTCACTATTCGCCACAGTTTGGTACAAAATGGCTGAGGTCCGTCGCCTCGGCATCATGTTCAGCTTATCTCCTCTGTGTCTTTATTTGGATTGTCAGCACCTTCCCATCTCCGTTGCATCGTCTCCAGACAGATTCATGTTCTATAAATCACTGTCAGAGGCCGGATTATCCTGGGAGGCACATGTTCAGCCACTGCTTCCACGACTCTGTGGGTGATGATAAATGTGGCAGGACTCATAAAAAGCTCAAGGCTTTATGGGGAAATGGATTTTGTTTTTGTTCTGTCGGAGATGAACAGCAGCACTAAACGCTGCCGCTGGGCTGCTGCAAACAGCGGAAAAACACAAATGTGAGCAGCTCTGTTAACTTTAGTTCTATTTTCCTTTAGTTGTTGTTTCTGTGTAGGAAGCAAATTAAACAAAGCTGGGGAGATGAGAGTCTAAAGCTAAACAAAATCCACTGATTTGGGGATTAAGAACACATATATAAACAAAGAAAAGAATGCTGCACGTAGGAAAAAAACTGCAAGTAAAGAAAAGCTGCAAACTAGCTCCGGCTAATGCAAAGGATCTCCAGCCTTTATGGTAACATTGTCAAATTTAACTTTGCAGCATCTTGAAAAACTATTTATTTTGGTTTGTGAGGAACAACAAGTACGGGCAGCGCCGAGTCCGACCAAAAAGAAATGAATTGTATGGATGAAACTAATTATTTTTAAACACCAACAGGCCATAATGAAAATGAGCTTAAATGCGACAAAACTGACGAGTATATTTTTCAATATTTACTTGACGCCTTCAGCCACACAGAGCTGCTGTTTTACATCCCTTACAACCAATATTCGTTCAAACTTCGACCAAAGTGGAGATTTCTAAACGTTTTCAGCCTGGATGTTAAGTCGGATTATAATGTTTGACATTTCAAGGTCTGTCACAAATATTTCTTCTTCGTTGAAAGACACATGTGAGTGTTGGTTATACACTTTTGTAATTTTACTTCTTTATTTTCGTAATGGTACGACTTTATTCTCGTAATGTTAATTTATTCTCATAATTTTACTTCATTTTTGTAATGTTATGACTCTATTTCTCGTAATGTTAATTTATTCTCGTGATTTTACTTCTTTATTTTCGTAATGTTACGACTTTATTCTTGTAATGTTAATTTATTCTCGTGATTTTACTTCTTTATTTTGGTAATGTTACGACTTTATTCTCGTAATGTTAATCTATTCTCGTGATTTTACTTATTTATTTTCGTAATGTTACGACTTTATTCTCGTAATGTTAATTTATTCTCGTGATTTTAGTTCTTTATTTTCGTAATGTTACGACTTTATTCTCGTAATGTTAATTTATTCTCATGATTTTAGTTCTTTATTTTCGTAATGTTACGACTTTATTCTCGTAATGTTAATTTTCTCCTCGTGATTTTACTTCTTTATTTTGGTAATGTTACACCTTTATTCTCGTAATGTTAATTTATTCTCATAATTTTACTTCATTATTTTCGTAATGTTACGACTTTATTCTCGTAATGTTAATCTATTCTCGTGATTTTACTTATTTATTTTCGTAATGTTACGACTTTATTCTCGTAATGTTAATTTATTCTCGTGATTTTAGTTCTTTATTTTCGTAATGTTACGACTTTATTCTCGTAATGTTAATTTATTCTCATGATTTTAGT